CCCCAAAACCCCAAAACCCCAAAACCCCAAAACCCCAAAACCCCATGGAAGAGAGAAATTATTGAAATATTGGATAGGCTTAGGGTAGAAGGAAGATTCTACTTTTTGAGTGGGGATCCTCCCTTCTTTGGTGATGTCCTCCTCATTGGACTTCTCTTCCCGGTCGGTGAGCCTCTCTTCGGTGACCTTGCTGGCGATCTGATTGGTGAGTCCTCTCTGATTTCTCTGCCGATGCAGGTCTTCTGCACAGCTACTTTCTCAGAGAACTTCTTGAGTGGACTCTTGCGCTCAAGCTTCTCGATCTCAAGTGGCGTGTAGATGTCCAGGAACTCGTCGATGGTGAGGAAGCCTCCGCCCACTCTGATTATGATCTTGTCTTGCTCAACTTTGACGAAGATCTTGCGGGTTCCGAACTGGTAGATGCCCGAGGACTCCCGCATGAACATCACTTTCAGGCGGTTGCGTTCTGGGTAGTTGTTGATGTACTCGGCAAGCTTGGCGTCGACTGAGTCACTTTCAACCGGAATGTAGACTGCGATGCGGTGCTTGAGCTCGACGATGTAGTCTTTGAGCGTTTCGATTTCGAGTTCGGCATCTTTGAGGTGGTCGAGTAGTTCGAGGCTGGTTTTGTTGGCTTTGTGGACTTTGTCGTCTTGTTCGATGAGGTAGTCAGAAGCAATGGTAAGTTGTTTTTTGAGTTCAGCTTTTTGTGCTTCTAACTCCACAATATGTTGTTTTGAATTCTTCAACTCTTCATCAATATTAATTTTAATCTGAGTAGTGTTGTCAAAATTCATCTTTAAATTCTGGATTTCAGATTTCTGCATTTGATTTTCTTTCTCTAAGAACTCAAGCCTCACCAAAATCTTAGCTTGATATTCTTGTGTTTTCTTAGCTTGTTCATCTGTTTCATTAATCAACCCTTCATACTTGTCCTGCAGCTCATTTCTTGCTTGTTCACATTGTCTTAACATTGTTGTCTTGGTATCAAGTTCTTGCTGGATATCATCTGCAACATCTGCCTTCTGTTTCAATGACACAATAACTGTTTTCAAGTGGTCAATCTCTACAGAGTTTTCGGTGAGGCCAACATCTTGGTAATAAGCAGTGGAGAATGTTTGCTGCTTCATGGTCTTGCTTTTACTCAGGGGAGACTTCACCTTACTTTTCTTAGGTGACTTCTTCGGAGATCTCGATGCGATAGATGACATAGAAATAATTTTTAATATTGCTTTTTTATCAATTTTCTTGAAAATTTATGGGGTTTTGGGGTTTTGGGGTTTTGGGGTTTTGGGGTTTTGGGGTTTTGGGGTTTTGGGG